CGGCTCCCTATCAACTAGTTCTTCGTAACTAGCGTATGCAAAATCCAATTCGGATTCATACCCGAGCCTCCTAGGTTCTCTCGTTTGTCTTCTCTCTCTATCTCTAACTAAGTTATAGTTAGCTAATGGATTTTCTTCCTCGGGATGCTCTTCTATCACTACTTCATTTTCCTCTTCAGGTTCTTAGACCTGAATCTCCACCTCACTCGAAGTACTAGGTACTGATGTGTTAAATTTTCCTAACTCCACCTTAAACTGATTTCTTTCTTCACTTGATTCAGTTTCACTTACAGGTTCGATTTCGTTCTTTAGACAAGGCATCCCACTCTCATTAAATGTGACATCCCTACTCACGATGATCTTAACTCCTTTTTAACTTCTATCCCATAGCCTATAGCCTTTAACCCCTTCGGGATATCCTAGAAAGACACACTTCCTAGCTCTAGGTTCTAACTTTCCCACACTTTGATGAGAAAAGGCAGCACAGCCAAACGCTTTAAGCATCTAGTAGTCACCCAATTTTTTAGACCATTTCTCATGTGGAGTATTACCATTTAATGCAGCCGATGAAGTCAAATTTATTAAATAACAGGCAGTGACGACGGCTTCACCCCAAAATGACTTAAGAAGCCCAAAACTTAACATCATGCAGCGCACTTTGTCTAGTATGGTCCTATTCATTCTTTCTGCTACCCCGTTTTGCTAGGGAGTATAAGGAACTATTTTGTGCCTTGTTATTCCACTTGCTTTACACATCCTATCGAATTCAGCATTACAGAATTCTAGGCCGTTATCTGTCCTTAAAAATTTGATCCTCTTGTTAGTTTGGTTTTCCATTTGTTTCTTCCAGTTGTTAAAGTTATGGAAGGTTTCAGTTTTGTCTTTCAATAGATAGACCCACACTTTCCTGGTGTAGTCATCTATGATAGATAGGAAATACCTATTCCCACCCGATGTGGGATTACTAGCAGGACCCCACAGATCAGAATGCACATATTCAAGCATGCTTTTAACCTTATGCGTACTAGTGGAGAACGACACTCTATGGTGCTTTCCAAGCACACAGTGATCACAGAACGAAAGGTCAGACACACAGTCATTACCAAATGCACCTTTTTCATTAAGTAGCTTAAGTCTTTTAATGCTTACGTGTGCAAGCCTACTATGCCACATATGTGTGTGATCGATTTTGGTGGAAGAAATAAAGGAGTTTAATCCTCTAATCACTTCCCCAGTAGTGATGTAAATGTCATTTTTCTTGATTCCCTTAATAGAGATTAACATACCCTTCATCATTTTAAACATACCGTTTTCAATTTTACCGGTGAAGTTGTCTTTCTCAAGTCTTCCTACTGAAATCAAATTCCTAGATAATTCTGGAATGTATCTAACTTCCTTTAACATGTACACAAAGCCTATGTTAAATTTTATCTTTATATCTCCAATTCTAGCAATTGTATAGGCGAACTTATTACACAGAACTACTTGCCCATCATTAGATTCTTGCAAGTTTTCAAACCAGTTCTTTTCAGATGTCACATGAAAAGACGCACCAGAATCTAATATCCATTCATGCATGTGAGAATTAGTAGTTAGATTTAATTCAGTAGTGTATGCGACTGGACTAGTGCTCACATAGACTTCACCGTTTTCGGTATCGGAGGTAGAGGATAACACATTGACCTCATCTCTTTCCTTTACCTTTCGTTTTCCCTTTTCTTTATGATAGTTTTTTATAAAATGCCCTATGCCTCCACAGCCATAGCATTTTCTAGCCTTAGTTTTAAACTTTGATCTAGGTCTACCATTCCCCTTCTTTTTCCAACTATTACTACTTGATTCGCCACTACTTTGGTATCCATCATGACTGACTTGCCTAAATTGAGTTCTACCCCGCATCATATGCAACTCTCCACTGCTGCTATCCTGTTTTTCAGTCCTCATTTCCATCTCCTTACTCGTAAGAGAATTTACAACAATTTCAGGTGTTAACGTGTCCCTACCATACTTAATGGCATTTTTAACTTCTTTATAAGAGTCAGGGATTGAATTAAGCAAGATAATGGCCTTAAAGGTTTCAGACACGGCTTCATCACAATTGACAATATCTTGCACCAATTTGTTAAATACATCTAAATTGTCGTCGAGATCCTTTGAAGGATCCATTTTAAAGCTGAAGAATCGTTCGAGTAGATAGAGTTTATTCGGTGTAGATTTAAGCAAGTATAAGTCTTCTAGTCTTTTCCAAAGTTCTTTGGTGGTTTTTAGTTTTCCCACTTTTCTTAAGACAGCGTCAGACAAGTGTAATATTATTGAAGTATAGGCAAGCTCATCGACTTCCTCTTTTTGTTCTTTGAGATATCAGGTGCAAAATTGCCTTCGATGGCTTTTGACACATTTTGTTGGACTAATATGCCTCTCATCTTCTGTTGCCAGATAGAGAAGTCCCCTTTATCGTTAAAAATTCTCAAATCAAAATTATGTGTTGTCATTGGTTAACACACTAATTAAGCCACACGAAGTAGTATTGGGAAGCGTGATAAGATAATATCTTGTTAATTCTTAGAAAAAGTAACAATTAACCTAAACGCTACGTCCACCAAGAAATACCAAGCACTTTAAATTAAAAGAACAAGTACTCAATTAACGCAAGTAATCCTAGTTCTAGCACAAGCAATGGTTACCCCTTCACGGTAACCCCAAAATCTAATGATCACCCCACACGATGATCTTGCTATTTCTGAATTTAAATGGATTAAGCCAATTTACCATAGCGGACCTATCTGAGTCCGTAGAGTGGAGAAAAATGAGCTTGCTGTTGAATTTCAGCCGGCGTCGCACCAGGAGCAAAATCGTCCAACTTTTTCTGTGTAACCTGAAACACAAAACAAAGTATATCAGCGCGTTCAGGAGATCGAAACAAGCAAGTTACCTGAACACAGCATCGCCGGACAGTCGCCCACGCGCCGCCGCCGTCAGCCCACGCGCCGCCTCTCTGGGAGCGCCTCGACCTGTGGTGATGGGTATGGCCTCCGTTTGTCCAATCGAGTTTTGGTTTGTGAGTAATTGATAATTTTCAAATTCGTGTTCTAAGGTTCATGTCCGAAAATTAGCCGATTTTGAGCCAATTTTTGCTACCTACGCTCTGATACCAAATGTTAGGATCTTCCTTAAGCTGCTCAAAGTGATTTTCGGGCTCAGTTAACCATTAAACATCGAATTCAACACCAAATCGAGAGATGACCGACCGCCGGCGTCCGCCCTTCCTATGGTTGCTATTTCCTCTTTTGCTTGTTGATTCTACCACACAGGTAAGAGTCACAAAGCCTCAAACAATTGGTAGGGAAGATAACTTGGCAGGAAGCATGAAGGAGAAGAAGAAGAATAACACCTCTCTCTCTCTCGGGTTCTCTTCAAGCACGGCACAAAGGAGTAGGGGTTAACTACCAATATATATATTAGTTAAATGGCCAACTTAAGGTAAGTCACAATATGGTAAGTAGGCTCGACTAGGGTTAAGTCCCAATAGAGAAACAACAAGCCACAAAGAGAATTAGACATCCAATAGGTAAAGCAATGTTAGGTCGGTTCATCCATTATTCAATGTTGAATTATCGTTCAGTCATTCATGTCGACTGATAAAATGGATTTTCATCATCGCCCGGGAGGTCGTTTGACAACATGATATCTAACAACATTATTTTTGAAAAACGGAGTGTCAATCCAATTATTTCTCTCATAGCATAGCATTTGATCTACTAACACATCTTGTTAGCACCGTAACATCGGAATCTGCTTTTAACACAGGTGGCAAGATTTTGTCTGAAAGTAAATCATGACTCGTGAAGATATAATTTAATATGTATAAAAGATTTGGAAGATGCGGAGTTCCAAATCCAAGATAAATATGTACATATACTATCTGCTTAGGTAGATAATATTTGAGTTCATCATAATTTGTTTTTTTTTTTTAATATTGTTCACTTTAGAAAAATATAAATAAACACGTAACAAGTTGGTCCTAGACAATTTTTCCTCCACCTGCATTTAAAGTAGCCTATCCCAAGCTCAATAAAGGGTGAAAGCTTTCAAAAAATACTTTCTGCTCATGGCTGGCCCGACTAGGCTCATAAGCCCACGATATTAGGGACAAGCCGAACGCCACTAACGGACATGAACTGAGAGCTTGAGCTCGGTTCGTTCCATGGACGAGACAAGCCCGTGATTTTATGGACCGTGCCAAGCCACCCCTAATTTTAAGGCTTTATGTTTGCAAAGTACGGTTAACAAGAAAAATGAAGGACTCCACACAAGTTAACTTTGTGAAATGTAAAAGAAAACATTGCAATTTTTTTCCACCCTCCTTCACTCCTCATGTTTTTCGTATACGCATTCTCAGTTGGTGGAGTTGTGGTTACAGCTGATAAAAATAGTTGTCTTAGACGATGCATGGGTAAAAAGTCAATTTTTTTTCGTATTTCCTAGCAGATATTTTTTTCCTTTCTATAGCGGGGTGACACAAACAAAAAACCGACACAACGAAAATACAACTTAAATTCCTAGACGAGCAGTCCCCAATAGTTAATTTTTGCCTTAGAGCTTCACCACGTCTGGGATGTGAACTGGATACTTTTCAATACAATCAAACCAAGGTCCATCTGCTGGTGTTTTGATAGTCTTGTTACATTTCCACACAGCACTGTTACACTTAAATCCACTTCCAAATGCTATCTGCCAAATCCTATCTCCTTTTCTCATTCTTCCCTTTGCCTCGATGTAGCTTAGCTCATACCACAATGAAGAGGAGGACGTATTGCCAAACCGGTGTAGCGTCATCCGTGATGCCTCTACGTGCTCGGCCGATAGGTCCAAGTTCTTCTGCAGCTCGTTGATTACTGCTCGGCCGCCTGCGTGGATGCAGAAGTGCTCAAAAGCTTGCTTAAAGTCAGGGATGTATGGCCTCAAATTTGGGCTGAACACTTTTCTAGCTATCAGTGTAAGAACAAAAAGAAGCTGTTCTGATGCAGGAAGTACCAGAGGACCTACTGTGGTGATATTCGATTTCAATGCATCACCAGCTATTCGCATAAGATCTTTAGATAGTGATATCCCTGATTTTCCTTGAGGGTCTTCTTCTTCATAGACACAACGGTAGGCCATATCGTCTGCACCTTTATGTGTTCGGACGACGTGCAGGAGACGGTATTTGGCCCGCCTTCCGTCCGCCTTCCGGTTAGACAATAGAATAGCAGCACCACCCATTCTGAACAAACAATTGGGTAGCAACATAGATCTCTCTTTACCCTTATAATAATTCGGTGTGATGATCTCAGTACTTACAACAATTGCATTTGAATTGTGATGAACTTGCAGCAGATCACGAGCTAAGTCAATGGATATTAAACCTGCACTACACCCCATCCCAGATAGATTAAAGCTCTTTATATTGCCTCTCATCTTGTATTTATTTATAACCATGGCTGATAGAGATGGAGTCGGGGAGAAAAGACTGCAATTTACAATAAGAATATCAATGTCTCTAGGTTTCAATCCGGTCTTCTCGAAAAGAGATTCCATTGCTGAGAATATCACAATTTCGGCTTCTTTTCGTGCAGCTTCCATGTTCGGAGTTGGCGGGATATAGTGTATTGCTGGTGGCAAACAAGTTTCTTCACCGAGACCCGAACGCTCCAAGATCCTCATTTGAAATTCGACGCTTTTAGGCTCGCTGCTTAAGATAAGTCTAGAATGTTCCATGAAGGTAGAGAATGGGACACGACATACTGCCGGTGGCTTGTAACAAGCATAATCGACAAGATAAACCGATCTAGGTTTCCACATGAAGTAGATGGTGGACACAAAGACGACTGCGAATAACGAGCATAATATTTGGACAGAATCAAATCGAAAAGATTTCCAAATGTCAAGTATATCATCTGGGCTCGAAATTAGCAGTTTATATATGACATTAGCCATGATTGGTACTAGGATGACAGTTAAAAAGTTGTTGACAACATATTGGTACACAGGTTTTGCATACTTAATCTTGACAGAAGGAGAAACATCAGACGATGTACGAGGCATTTTATTATCTTTGTCTGAAGCTAGAGAGAGAGAGAGAGAGAGAGAGAGAGAGAGAAAAAGTTATTGGCTTTGTGGGTTTATGGGATAGAGAGGATGACTATATTTAAATTCTATAAGAACAGTGAAGTGAATGGGGGCAGATGAGCTGATTAATTGAAAGTCTCACCTCACTCAACGCTCTCTTTTGACTGTTTTCATATTATTACAATCTGTTTGGGAGATTTGACTTGCTTATGTGAAACAATTATTTTTTTCTTATCCAAAACAAATATTTCTTTTTTTGCTTCAGCTGTTTGTGTTACGTATGAGACTGAAGGATTTGACTTGCTTTTGTGAAACAATTTTTTTTTCTTATCCAAAACAAATATTTCTTTTTTGCTTCAGCTGTTTGTAAAAAGCGGAAGTTTGTGGTGTTGTCAAAGATTTAGTTCATAGAATTATTAAATGAGATGCTTCCTTGGTGTTTATATCTTGAATCTCATTATAAAAAGTTGAGATAAATGATTTCGAACCTACTATTTTTTTTTTTAGTGTATGGCATTTTTATACTTTCCATTTTTCTGTCAAAAGTCAATCGTTTTAGATAGTTGCTAGCTATTTATTTTTTGTTTTATAAAAAAATAAATTAATAATATGGCATGGACTTGAAAAGAAATATTTTTTGTGTTATGCTGTGTGTTTTCTCGACTATCGAAGTTAGTGTTAATGTGTTTTAATATACTAGACTCTTAGAGTAGATAAAATTTTAAATCTAAAACTCAACAATAATTACTAAAATTGGATGTTCACCAAGCCAAACCACCATAGAAAAAAATTACCTTTGATTCATTAGTTTATATAATATTAATTCCCTTTTTCTAAACTATTCTTAGTAAAGTTGAGTATCCATATCAAAACGTGAAATCTGGCTTTGATCCAACAGTTTTATGTGCTAGGTAAGTGGTGAACCTGACTGATTTGATAAGAAAGGTTCATCTTGTGTGTCACGTTACAAAAATAATAGTTGGAATTAGGTTAATAATAGAAAATTTGTTTCTTGTTTCAGGAAAAGAGACAAATCTTATCTAAAGCTAAAAGGAATAGACTTGACTTCCATCGATTGGGCAAAAGAGGACCTACTCCACACTTCTCAATGAATTATGCTGCTTATATATAAAATTGGTACATAAGAGATTACATAAAATGATGTGGAGAAAAAGAATATGATGAAAAAGTTAGCTATATTTTAATGGGTAATTAGCGCAAAACGTCCCTACCTTTTAACTTAATTGTAGAAAACGTCTTTACCTTTTATTTTTTGA